CCCAGTACCTCATATTTCGATAGTAAGCAAAATTCCTCTTTCATTGAGTGCAGATGCAATCTGGATAGAGCGCTGTAAAACGAACTCAGCAGTTGTACGTGGGTTTGAAAGCTAGTAATGTGATAGTAATGAACCCAAAGACCGATAGGCCCCCACACTTTGTGCAATAATGAAATATTGAATAAATACAGCATGATTGCTCCACCCCACCAGACAGATAGACATCTGTGCAAGTAACCATCTGGCTGGCCCGTGGAACGAAATCCGCAACATCTCCTACAGCGACAAGGAGGTAGGGCCTGTCTGCTCGCAGGCGCGCCGGGGGCCCGCCCGCAGGCCTTCCCCATCTCGCCTCCTGGCTGAGGGGTCCCCGGCCCCTCTTCCCCTGTGACAGGAACGTCATTCCCTGCCCAGGCTATGGGTGTTTGGTTATTGATTTTTGTAGCATTTACAGGATAGTATTGGCATTCTGTTTTCAAATAGCATCCCTCCGCCCCCTCCCTGCTAACAAGAGGCTGGGGGCTCAACCTGTCAGAAAGGACAAACAGTAAACCAACCCAAAACGTCACCTTTTCTTATTACTTGGCTTCCTATTTTTGGTGAGAAAGTCTCTTTGCATTTTAAGTGTGGTAGGTATTAAACCCTTTCTCTGTGTCCAGCTTGATACGTATGGTGGGGGTGTGAGTGTGTGTGTGTGTGTGTGTGTGTGTCAGAGTATCAACAATAAATAATGATATCAGGCTAACCTGCTTACCGGAATTTGAGGATAATTAAGTTTAAATCGCGTAGATCAACACTCTTAGAATTCCAGTATTTCTACACAGCATCTCCCAAACGCTATAATCCTGCACGCATTGGTTTGTTCACTTATTCGTTCTCTGTTAGTTTTAAAGGAATTCTTGAGCATCTGTGTTGCCTTAGGTTTTGTAGGGGGAAGCGAAGATGTAGAAAATCCTGTCTGAGCCCTCCAGGAAGGTCTAGTGACGTCACGAGGGGGCTGCAGTGTGAGGGGCTGACGCCGCAGGGGACGGTGACGTAGTACAGGCCCCTTCACCCCGGCTCGTCCTCACAGGGACGCTGCTGGGAGAGTACGGCCGGGTTTGGGTTTCCCGTGTCACATCACAGGCAGCAGTGACGCAGAGGCATCAGGTGACCCGTGTCCGGGGAGTGGGGTTGCAGGGCCTGCACTCCAGGTTCCCTGAAGCCACCTCACAGGGCACCAGGCAGAGGAGGGCGGCCGGACAGTGCCCAACGCCACGCTGGCGCCCGCGCAGCCAGGTCGCTGAGCGTGGAGTAACTGACAGTTTGTGTGGCCCGCGGAGCGCCTCCCCAGGCAGGCTTCCTGCTTTCTCTTCCTGGGAGCAGCTCCCGGAGACGAGCACCAGGCCCCCGTTTCTAATACGAGGTTGCGATCTGCTTGTCCAGACTTGACGAGACAGCTTGAGCTTCTTCTTCTTCTTCTTTTTTTTTTTAAATACATTTTTTATCGATTTTAGAGAGGAAGGGAGAGGGAGGGAGAGATAGAAACGTTGGTTTATTTTATTAAACCAACACAGAAACGTTGGTTTATTTTATTTTATTTTATTTTTTATTTCTATTTTTTTTAGAGAGGAAGGGAAAGGAGAGGAATAGAGAGTTAGAAACATCTATGAGAGAGAAACATCGATTCAGCTGCTTCCTGCACACTCCCTACTGGGGATGTGCCCGCAACCAAGGTACATGCCCTTGGCCGGAATCGAACCTGGGACCCTTCAGTCCGCAGGCCGACGCTCTATCCACTGAGCCAAACCGGCCAGGGCACGTTGGTTTATTTTAAGCGACTCATTGATCCTCTGTGCGGCCCTGGCATGGCGCAGAGCCCGCGGTTTCCACACCACGTGTGGTTTCCCGCTGACAGCTCTGGGATCTGACAGCGAGGCCAAAAACAAGCTTATGAAACTCACAAACAGCAGCCCACACGGAGGCAATACCACTTCTAAATT